CGCGGGAGGGAGAGCTTGCAGTGAGCTGAGATCACGTCAGTGCACTCCAGCCTGAGCGACAGAGCGAGACTCCATCTCAAAAAAAAAAAAAAAAAGCTATCCTTCTTTGAGTACATGTCATCTTCCAGGAACAATACCCAAATCTGTGCTTTTATTATCTCATTTTTAATCACTATATCCTTATGAGGTAGGTACGATTATCATTCCCATTTCACAGGTAAGAACATTGAGGCTCAGAGGAGATAGATAATTTTGCTCAGAGTCAATTAGTAATTGGCAGAACTGGGAATCAAACCCTGTCAAATGTGTCCCAAACCCCGATTGTTGATCATGTTAGCTTTCCCATAATAAATTTATCAATAAACTTGCCATATTTTATTATAATTACCCATTCATGTGTTTCCCTCTGTTAGCATCCTCAAACTCTTTGAAGGCATTGATTGTTTTTTCTTTGTCTTTATGTCTCCAGTACCTATTCTTGTGCTTGGCATATAATAGGCACTTAACAAATTGTAGCCAAAAATAGTAGATTTATTGAGAGCATACTGTATGCCCACATATATTCTAATCACTTTACATAGAGTCACTCATTTAACTCAGAACAGCCCTCTTAGTTTGATACTATTACTAGACCAATTTACAGATAAGGAAAGCAGGGCCTAGAGAGATTAACTTTTTTTAGGTCATGTAGCTAGTAAGCGGAGGAGTTGTAATGCACTCTAAGTGACTCAAAATCCATGCTTTTTACATCATACCATTTTGTCATATGTTACAGTGTTATTGGGATAGATAAGAAAATGAATATTAACATGTCTTTTGCATATGTCAGGTACGTATTGCAGGCTCAACAAATATATAGTATCAATGATATAAAGAACTTGTATCAGTCAGGGTTGACAGAAAAATAAAAACCCTCCAGCTATTTCAAACAATGAAAAAATTATACAGGGAACTCCTATATTAGTCAGCTTGGACTGTCATAACAAAGTATAGCTGACTAGGTGGCTTAAACAACAGATTTTTTTTTTTTCTCAGAGTTCTGGAGTCTGAGAAGTCAAGGATCAAGGTGCTGGCCTATTCAGTTCCTGGTAAGGGCTCTCTTCCTGACTTGCAGTTGAACTTCTTGCTGTGTCTTCACAAGGTAAAAAGAGAGCGTGTGTGTGCGCTCTGTTGTGTCTTCTTATAAAGACAATAATCCTATCAGTCCAGGGTGCCACCCTCATGACCTTATTTAACATTAATTACTTTCTTACTCCAAATACAGCCACAGTGGGGGCTTCAACGTACGAATTTTAGGGGGAAACAATTCAATCCATAGTAACTGCTTACAGAGGTGATGGAAAAAGTAAGAAGCCAATAAGGAGGCAAGGTAAACCAGAGATTAGCAACAGCAGGGGTTGCTACTACCCTTAGGACTGGAGAAACAGAGATAATGTTACCAGACCCCAGGATCCAGGGCTGCCTTGTGGAAGATGAGCCATGGCTTGGATTCCAGAGAAAGACTGTCTAACAGGAACAGGAGCCATGGAGACTTAGCACTCTTTATCAGAAGAAGAGAGAGAGGACAGAGAGCAGTGCCCTGGCTTCTCTCCCTCCCACTTCAGTCTCCTGTCAGACTTCCATTGACTGAGGCCACCTAGAAGTCAGAAAACAAGTGGCCCTGGAAAATATAGTTTCCTCTGACCCAAAGCAGAGCTGAGAATGGCAAGGACTGGGCTGAGAGCAGACAGAAAGAAAAGACTGTTAGATTAAGTTTAGCCCAAAGATGCCTTCTTACATAGTAAGTTTTACCTAAAGGTTTCTCTGTGCACAGTGAACTGTAACCTAACTGGGTGTGTAAACTAACTATAACCTACTCTTGTGCCAGTCACTCCGTTTTAGTCAATTAAAGGCAGCCAACTATTCAAACTCGATTCAAGTAAGGCAAACGCAGAACTATAAGCAATCCAGCTGTTTCTGTACCTTACTTCCATTTTCTGTACATCACTTCCCTTTGTGTCCATAAATCTTCCACCACCTGGCTGTGCTGGAGTCTCTCTGACTCCAGTGAATTATTCTTTCCTCAATTAAACTGTGTTAAATTTAATTTGTCAGTGATTTTTCTTTTAACAAGACTGTAATAGCAAATTGAGAGTTAGAGAGCAGGCAAACAGATCCTGAATTTTTTGAGAAAACGATATGAAAATTGCAGAAAGTGTAACAGATTTAAAATTATATGAGACGTTTTTGGGATTCTTCCTCTTTTAGCTTAAGTTCACAACATTTTAGGGGTCTAGAGGACTTACAGCAGTTGTTCTTTACTGGAGGGGGGCATTTTGCCCCTCAGGGGATATTTGTCAATGTCTGGAGACATTTTCGTTGCCACAATGGGTAGCAGGGGGATGTTACTAGTATCTAGTGGATGGAGGCCAGGAATGCTACTAAACTTTCTACAATGTACAGGTACAGGCTCACAACAAAGAATTATTTAGTCTAAAATGTCAATAATGCTGTGATTGAGAGATCCTGCTTTAGAGAATCACACATGTGAATAACAAAATATCGTCGTTGGGAGACAGTAAAATCCATGTTAAAAAGTGAATTGGATTGGAGTCGGTCCTAGACCAGGTTCTGACTGCTTGCCAATTTTGTATCCTTCGCGAGTCACTCAGTTTCCTCATCTTCAAAGAACACATTTTATTGAAAAGATATTTAAGTTCCCTACCATTACTAGAATCTCTGCATGTACTAACTTCTTAAACATGTTTGGTTTTCTGCTGTATTTTTAAATGTCAACATTTATTTGCTTATGATAGTTCACCTAGGCTTTAACTTAATTGTTTTCATACTGAAGGCAATTATGAGAGAAACTTTTACTCTCCTGCAAGATATTAAATTCAGATTTAAGAATAGGCTCATTATTTAC